ACGCCTTGTTTTGGTCCCTGAAAACTATTCTTTAAAAAATCCACGCCTTGTTTCGGTCCCTAAAAACTATTCTTTAAAAAATCCACGCCTTGTTTTGGTCCCTGAAAACTATTCTTTAAAAAATCCACGCCTAGTTTTGGTCCCTGAAAACTATTCTTTAAAAAATCCACGCCTTGTTTTGGTCCCTGAAAAATATTCTTTAAAAAATCCACGCCTTGTTTTGGTCCCTGAAAACTATTCTTTAAAAAATTCACGCCTAGTTTTGGTCCCTGAAAACTATTCTTTAAAAAATCCACTCCTTGTTTTGGTCCCTGAAAAATATTCTTTAAAAATCCACGCCTTATAGAGGTCCCTGAAAAAATATTCTTTAAAAAATCCACGGCTTGTGTTGGTCCTGAAAAAATATTCTTTAAAAAATCCACGCCTTGTAGAGGTCCCTGAAAAATTATTCTTTAAAAAATCCACGCTTTGTAATGGTCCATGAAAAAATATTCTTTGAAAAATCCACGCCTTGTTTTGGTCCCTTAAAAATATTTTTTTAAAAATCCACGCCTTGTGGTAGTCATCAAAAAATATTCCTTAAAAAATCCACGCTTTGTAATGGTCCATGAAAAAATATTCTTTGAAAAATCCACGCTTTGTAACGGTCCATGAAAAAATATTCTTTGAAAAATCCACGCATTATTTTGGTCCCTTACAAATATTTTTTAAAAAATCCACGCCTTGTGGTAGTCATCAAAAAATATTCCTTAAAAAATCCAAACCTTGTTTTGGTCCCTGAAAACTATTCTTCGAAAAATCCACGCCTTGTTATGGTCCCTGAAAAAATGTTCTTTAAAAAATCCACGCCTTGTGTTGGTCCCAGAAAAAATATTCTTTAAAAAATTGTTTTGATCTTCACGCTTTATTATCTGTGCACCCACCTCTGCGTATAAGTATTGACAACATGTATACGCTCCATAGTACATACATGCAGTAGATAAACATAATATTAATATTCCCACAATATTTTATAAACATTCACATAACCTAAAAGTATTTTAATATATAATCCCGCAAAAAAAGAGAGTAGAAAATGTATTAAAAAATTCCTCTACAATAAAAAAAAAGTTCGAAACAGAACAGCGAAAATGAAGACAAGACAAAAGAAGCTTCGAGCTAAATATCGATGTGACTTATATTATTTCTCTATATGCATGACAGAGATGACAGTCAACATATGAGAAAATATTCCACGAATGGTGGGAAAAGCACTAAATATTTTAGCGAATTTTTGTGAGCTATGAAACATGAAAAACATGAAGAAATGTCAAAAAATCGGGACATATACATATAATTAAATATGTATTAAAAAAAAATGAAATAAGTAAAAAATAAATAAAATACGTCCCCAGGTACGGCAAATAATTTTTATGGATACACTTATTTTAAACCCATTAAATTGGGTCACAAACACACTGGCATTCTTATCAGTTTTTACAATCAACTCAAATGTATTTCAAGATAATATAAAATTGCGGAATAGAGCCAAAAATTTGATCTTAAGAAATTATTTTGTAGACAAAAGAACTGATACACAAAGAAACGAGAAGAAAGAATTCATTTTATCTCCTACCACAATTTCAAATATTAAATACACATCCTTCCCCCCCTTGCAAAACCTAAGTCAGAAGTGGAAGGCATTGGCGTAGGAGACTTGTTAGTGCAAAAGGAGTCGATTTTTCCTCTCAAAATGCAGATATTCGATCACTATAGCATTCCCAAGAGTTTTGAAAACATTTGATGTGTAATTTGTGGAAAGAAGAAAAAATCGGCATATTTAGTTCCATGTCAACACTTATACGAACTGGTAAACGATTTCAACTTAATTTTTTATATATATGTATTTTTTTTTAATATTTTTCATGATTTTCCGAAAGGTGTTAATTTTTTGAGGAAGATTTTTAAGAATATTTTTTTTGGGCTACCACAAGGGGTGGATTTTTCGAAGTATATTTATTGACGATGCGGATTTTTTAAATTATATTTTTTGAGGATTATAAAACGGCGGGGATTTTTTAAGTAAATATTTAAAAAAAAAATACCATAAGGCGTGGATTTTTAAAGAATATTTTTCAAAGAAATCCTTGTGGGTCCTACTACAAAGGGAAAATTGCGATTACGTATAAGTTATGGCATGATGTATACTTTACGGCGTACTCAAAGCAATTATAAGTTATACGCTAATACGGTTTAGGAAGATTTGTTCGATTAAAGGAATATTTTTGTTGGGACCATAGCAAGGCGTAGATTTCTTAAAGGAAATTTTTTTGGGACCATAACAAGATGTAGATTTAAAAAAAAAAAATACTTTTTGGGACCACAATAAGGCGTAGATTTTTTAAAGATTTTTTTTCTTGAGATCACAACAAGTCGTAGATTTTTTAATGAATATTTTTTCAGACCATAGAAAGGCGTAGATTTTTATAAAGAAATATTTTTTCGGACCATAAAATGGCGTAAATTTTTTTTAAAGAAATATTTTTTCGGACCATAAAAAGGCGTAGATTTTTTAAAGAATATTTTTAGGACCTAAGAAGGCGTAGATTTGTTAAAGAATATTTTTTGGGACCCTAACAAGGCGTAGATTTTTTTAAAGAATATTTTTTAGGACCCTAACAAAGCGTAGATTTGTTAAAGAATATTTTTTGGGACCCTAACAAGGCGTAGATTTTTTTAAAGAATATTTTTTGGGACCCTAACAAGGCGTAGATTTTTGTAAATAATATTTTTTGGGACCCTAACATGGCGTAAATTTGTTTAAAGAATATTTAAAGAAAGTCTCAGATTTTTAAAAATATTTTTCAAAATAAAAATATTTCCTTCAAAATATTTTCCGAGACCCTCCCAAATAACGCAGATTTTTAATCATAGTTTTCGCGGCCCTCCCGAACAACGCAGATTTTTAATAACAGTTTTCATATGGATTCAAAAGACTGATTTTTTTAAGAATATTTTTCGTGGCTAATCAAAAGATGCAGATTTTTAAGAATATTTTTCGTGGCGTTCCCGGGTAAAGATGTTTTTTTGGAATATCTTTTAAAGAATACCACAAGGCGAGGATATTTTAAATTATATTTTTTAAAGGACTATAAAAAGCCGGGGGTTTCTTAAGAAGATAAAAATAGAATTATATTCCGATTACGAATAAGTTATGATATTAAGTATACGTTATGGCGTACCCGAATAATTATTACTTATACGCCACGGAGGTTCAAGAATATTTTTTTCGGTAAAGCGTGGATTGTTTAGAGAATAATTTTGTAGGGACCACAAAACGGATTCGAATTTGTTTAAAGAATATTTTTCTAAAGATCACAACAGATTCTATGTAGAATATACTCGTAGAGTCCACATAAAGCGTAGATTTTTAGAATATCTATGTAGGGACACAACAAGGCGTAAATTTTTAAAGAAGGTCTTCTGGATTTCTAGAATACGAAAATGTAGGCTTATTTAAGAAGTGTTTCATGACATTTATTAGAAGCACTTCCGGACTTATAAAATAATACATGTTGGACATCTATAAGATCACCTTCTGGACTTTTATATGAAGACATTGTGAACTTCTGTAAGAATAATTTGCGGACTTCTATAAGAAGACCTTGTGAACTTCTGTAAATGACATTTAGTACGTCTATAAGAGGACCAGATTCTATGTAGAATATTTTCGTAGAGTCCACAAGAAAGCGTAGATTTTTAGAATATTTATGTAGGAACCCCAACAAGGCGTACATTTTTAAAGATCTTCTGGATTTCTAGAATACGGAAAGGTAGGCTTATTTAAGAAGGCTTTCTTGACATTTATTAAAAGTCCTTCCGGACTTATAAAATAATATATTTTGGACATCTATAAGATGACCTTCTGGACTTTTATATGAAGCATTTGTGGACTTCTATAAGAGTATCTTGCTCACTTCTATAAGAAGGCCTTGTGAACTTCTGTAAATGACATTTAGGACGTCTATAAGAGGACCTTCTCGACTTTTATAAGAAGACATGGTGGACTTCTATAAGAAAGTATTCTGTAAATGACATTTAAAAATTCATTTTGGATTTCTTTATGATTTTTTTAAAGAATAATTTTGTAAATAACGCAACAAGGCGTAAGAATGCCTTAGGGCTTTATTAAGAAGATCTACTGAACAGTAATAAGAAAACCTCTTGAGCTATAAGAGTCCTCTTGAATTTCTATAAGATGGTTTTTGGATCTTTATGACTTATACAAGAAAACCTAATGGACTCCTAAAAGAAGTAGTTATAAAGGAGACCTCTTCAGCTATAATACGACCTTTGTGGACTTCTGTTTGCCGACTTTTTGTACTTCTTTATGACTTTTATATAGTCGACTTTTTGCACTTCTTTAATGAGACCTTTAGTACTTTTAAAGGAACACTTTTTGAACTTCTACAGACAGACCTTTGGACTTCTACGAAAATACTTTATTGGCTACTACAAGAAGATCTTACGGATATCTATATGAATACATTCTGAAAGAACACCTTGGGGACTTCGATAAGGAGGCCTCTTGAGCCATAAAATGGCCTGTTGAACTTCTATAAATCGACCTTTTGGACTTGTTTAAGTCAGCTATCTGGACGAAGGTTTTGTGGATTTCTCTATGAATGAATTTTGTTCTTTTCAAAGGCCATGACTTCTTGATGTTCTCCCACCCAAAATTTATTCCAGGCTACGACACTGGCAACAAATCACAAATATTAATATACAATAGAGTATAAAAATAGCTTTCAGATTATAATAACAATAACTATAAGCAGCAAAAAAATATAAAATATTTTTTAAAAGCCCTATTTTGTCTTGGTTTTTTTTTCTTTTTGCTGCCTCTTTTCACAGACAATGGCAATGAAAATGGATATTTCTTTTCAAATATCAACTATTTGTCCTAAGTAAACAAACATACATACATACATATACAAAAATATTTATACAATTCTACTCACTTTGCACATGACATAATCCCACCGAAAATTGTGACAGTTCGGGCATTTGTCGCAGTATCTCCTCCGTCACTAAATGAACACCTCGATGCTGGGGTCGTAGATTGATTTTGCGCTGAAACCACGCCGAACCGATTTGTAGACCGGAACCGGCATGCCCGTGACCGCCACCACCACCTGTACCGCCGCCCCCTCCGCCGCCACCGCCCCCGCCTCGATGATTCGACGAGGCCATGGTGCTGTTCGACGATGAACTGCGTATATTGCTGTTGCGACTGGCGCTCTGTTTAATATTCGTGGCAGTGCCGGAATGGCCTGCCGCTGTCGATGAACCGCTTTTGCCGTGAGGATTCGTGGTGATGCTGGTACTGTTACTGCGTTGTTTATGGCTACGGCTGCGTGTGCTTTTTGACGACGGCGGCGGCGCAGCGGCTGTTTGTCCTGGCAGATGATCAGCGGCGTCGACCGGGTTGTTTGTGGCGTAGGTGGTGGAAGTGGTGGCTGGGGTTGGGGCTAAGGCTGTGGCTGAAGCTGCTGCCGTTGCTGCCGCTGTTGATAATGGATTGCTGTTGGGGGCTGCGATGATAACCACCTCTGCTGGGTCTTGATATAAGAATAGCTCGGGACAAGGGTGCGATACGATTTGTTTACTACTTGATGCCGAGGGGGAGGAGAAGGACTCCAGGCGTTTTCGTTGTTGAAATGTCGGCTGTGTTGTTGTTGTTATGACGTTGATGTTGTTGTTGTTGGTATTGGTGTTGTTGTTTGTCGTTGATAATCCACTAACAGCGGCAGCAACAGTAGCGTTATGCCCGTATTTAGTTGTAGTCGTTGCGTTGTAGTTGTTCCTTCAGTTGTTGTTGTTGTTGCTGGTCTTCAGCGATAATTATGACCAACGAAAAGAAAAAAAGAAAACTGTAGGCCTGCACAACTGACGAAGTTCGCAACACCACTTCACTCCCTTTTGTTTGGACGTGTTTAACCAGCAATTAACTCGAACAAATTGCACAAAAAATGGTTCACTTTTGTTGTTGTTGTTTCGGTTCCTCAAACTTCAAATTACAACAATGGAAGCAACTTCCTAGGGTCCCTTTTTCCGTGTGTATGTGTGTGTAAAGGTGGGGAAATGGTAATGTAATTACATTCAAAGGTAGTAGTGCCTCGACACTCCGGCAACTCCCTAAATGCTACTTTTTTGCGGAATGCACGTTCGTTTCGTTTTTTTATAGGGAGAGAGGGTTCCTTTTTTTAAGTGGATTATTTTGTTGGTGAATAAAGGATTTTTCTCCAGTAGCTTCCTTTTTTTCTAGTTCTCTTCGGCTCAGTTCTGTTTCCAGTTGCCACAATTCACGTTTCTGTTTCTTTCGTCGCTTCCTGGCTTAGCCTGCCTTTATTTTCTCAAAATCATTGCTTTTCGATTTCTGTGCTGTTGCTGTTGTTGGTTTATTTTTTTCCTCGAAGTTGTTTTGTTCGCTTTCTGGGTTATTGCTGCTTTATCTTTCTTTTCGCAGTAACACCACTCTCAATTCTTGTGAAAATCTTTTGGGGAATCTGGCATAGGTTTCACCAGGAAACAAATACGCAGAACACCTGCAATAAAACAAGAAAAAACGGAGAACAAAAATGGGTTAAATAAAGTCAGATTATGCAGTTGTCCTGAAATAAATGCATACGGGGGAAAGAAATTTTTAAAGATGCAAGCAATAAATTTTGAAAATAAAAGAAAAAAACTGCTAAAAGAAATGGAGAAAATGATTTAAATTGCGATTACGTATAAGTAATGACATAAAGTATACGTGACGGAGTACCCCAAAAAGATTACTTGTACGCCAAGGGGTTCAACGAATTTCTTTTCAGTAAATAGAAGAAGCGTGGATTTTTTAAAAGAATATTTTTTCCAAGGACCACAAAAAGGCGAGGATTTTTAATAGAATATTTTTTCCAAGGACCACAGAAAAGCGAGGATTTTTTAACAAATATTTTTTCCAAGGACCACAGAAAAGCGAGGATTTTTTAACAAATATTTTTCCAAGACTAATACAAAGCGTAGCCATGAAACGAGACATGAATTTGGCTGCGGATTTATGGTCAACAGGAGAATAAAAGGCCTTGTCTCCAGATTCACTCCAGTAGATGAGCGAATTGCTACAATCCGCATAAAAGCGAATTTCTTCTACATCAGTCTTATTTGCGCCCATGCTCCGACCGAAGACAAAGATGAGCAGACCAAAGACATATTTTATGAGCGCCTAGAAACAGCATATGATCGCTGCCCTAGCCTTGACATTAAAATTCTGCTAGGAGATTTTAATGCAACAATCGAAAGGGAATATATCTTTCGCCCCACCGCACTATAGGTCAAACAGACCATTTTACTGGCCAAAAGTCGAATTTCACACATTGTCTTATCACTTCTTTTGAGTTACAATCGAGTAAGGAACACTTCAAAACAAATAAAAATTAATTTTGTTTTTGCATAATCACTTATACCATTATATGGCAAGCTGTCAAAGGTGGATTATTAAAATATCATAAAAAATTTATTAATTTGATATGTTACTTGTTAAGATTTAAAGTGGAAATAAAATAAAAGTATAACTATAAGTAAAGAATTAATAAGAAAGTATTCGATATCTTTTATCATAAAATGTATTTATACATATGTGTATGTGTAAAAATAGTATTAAAATAAGCATAACATTAGATTGATCGCAGAAATTTTTAAACTTTGAGGTTATGAAAGCATTAAATCCGTGGGCAACGTTTGGCAATTGAAATAAAAATTGATATTTGTTTATTGAACCGTCTTTAATCTAAATAACCTAATGTGGTTTTGCGGATTTGTGCGGGTTTTTTTAATTATTTCCATTTTTGTATGTTAAACCATTTACTGAAACGCGAATTAATTTGAATCTGAAATAACTGGAGTAGAGGTAAATCTTATATTTCGCCTCAACATTTTTTTAATTTAATTATTATGTCAGTTTTCATTAGATTTAAACATATTTCGAACTTATTGTTATGAAACAGCTAATTTAATATTGACGAAATATTCTTGGCTGTCCATGATTGCTACTGTGAAAAAGGTACAAATTCATGTACTTCCATTAGGGGTTCTTGGAGAAGATGCTGCTATAGGTTACATCACGCTCGTAAGAGCAACCGAAAGAATAACATCTAAGATATATTTACTAGAGCCTTGGATACATTAGATTCCTTTAATATCCTCTAATAATCAATTAGCTTAATCAAACGCATGTAACAGTAAAAACGTTAAAGCTTGAAATGATTAAAGTGTTAAAATGTCAAAATTCTCGAATCTCAAAACTAAATTTGACTGTTTCAGAGATTACAATTCATCAATAGAATCAAACTATTAACACTAGAACGCCGAAGGCGGTCATTTTGACTGCTTTCCAATTTCAAGTACAAAAGCAACTGTGCATTTAATGACACTTTTTTTTAAAATTTGGTGACTTTTTGTAGCTCATAGAATTACGTTTATTATAAAAAATTCGCCAAATTTTAAAAAAAAGTGTCATTAAATGCACAGTTGCTTTTGTACTTGAAATTGGAAAGCAGTCAAAATGACCGCCTTCGGCGTTCTAGTGTTAAATATGAAGACAGATCACATGATGAGAACATATTATATAAATATTCTTAATGACTTAGATTTAGAAAATGAAACGGACTTCATTTAAATAATATATGTAGTCACAGACGTATTAAAGTGGAGGGGTGTCCTTGGTGCTCGACACCGCCGGAATTGTTTTTGTTTACATTAACTTTTGTTATCCAACAGAAAAATTTTAATTTTTTCACAAACATCAAACATACCTAACCTTTTCGAAACGATGCATACGACCCTGCATGTGATGATATTCCATAATTTTATTTATTCACATTAATAAGAATATATATATAAATAAAATTTTATGAAATATATGAATTAAATTATTTTTGTCCCCAAAGAGTTAATAAATTAATGACTTAAAGGGTTAATTTCTAAAAAAAAATGTTCCATTATTCTTTCAGAAAGTTAAGAAAGCTATTCTGGTTGAAATACAATTATTTTTTTAAATTTTATGACTTTTGGCCACAAAAAATGCCACTTTGACCTATAGTGCACCGTTGGAAAATTCAGCCTTCACGAAGGAAGCTCCGACAACGGCATGAGGTTGATTGACTTCGAGGTAGCAAAAACATGGTAGTTAGCAGCACCAGATTTAAGCATCTTGATTTACACAAGGCCACCTTGATTTCTCCTGATCAAGCAACGAGAAATCAAATTGATCATGTTGTGATAGACGGAAGGCATTCATCCAATGTATTAGATGTTTGATCGATCCGAGGAGCGAATATCGATACGGACCACTACCTTGTAGCTGCCAAGGTTCGCATTTGGCTTAATGTTGCAGCAAAGATCTAACACAACACGGAAACTCGACTTCGAAAAGCTGCAAAAACAACAGTTAGCCGAGGTCTACTACGCTCAACTTACCCACTTGCTTGACGAAAGCACTTCTTGTCCCGATAATAGTATAGAAGCACAATTGCAAAGAATTGTCCACTCCCTACAAACTGCAGCAAAAGCAACACTTGGGTACCAAAAACCACCACCAAGAAATCCATTTTACGATCAGGAGTGTCGTAATGCTACTGATGTGAAAAACACAGCGTATAGGGCAACCCTGCATACAGTAGCAACACGTAACGTGATGGAGAATTATCCGAAGAAAAGGAAAGAGGAGAAAAGAAAAAAAGAAGAAAGAACAAGTAAATCGTGAACGTGAGCAAATCGAGATGTACAGGAGTCAGAATGAAGTCCGAAAATGTCACCAACGAGTAAAACACCAAACAGAAGACTTTGGTGCAGGCACATCCTCCTGTAGAGATGAAGAAGGAAACCTGGTGACAGATACAGACAGCGTGCTGAGGATCTGGAAGGAGCATTTTGAAAAACCCCAGAACCAATAATAAATATATGACGGTATAGAGTAGAGTGTATACCATCTAGCCAAGACGAGGTCAGAATAGCAATCAATCGGCTGAAGAATAATAAAGCAGCAGGTACCGATGGGTTACAAGCCGAACTATTCATGTCTGGTGGTCAGATGCTGGTAAGGAGCATTCACCAGCTGATTAGTTCAATTTGGCTGGAGGAATGCATGCTCAATGATTCGAACCTCAGCATCCTGTTTCCCGTGCACAAAAAAGGAGAAAGACAATATGTGCCAACTATGGAGGAAAAAGTTTCCTTCCCATCGCATATAAAGTGCTATCCAGCGTACTGTGTGAATGACTGAAGCCAATGGTCAGCGACATTATTGGACCATACCAATCCAGCTTCAGACCTGGCAAAACCACCATTGACCAGATTTTCACTCTGCGTCAAATCGTAGAAAAACCCCACGAAAAACACATCGACACATTCCATCAATTCGTCGACTATAAAGTCGCATTCGATAGCCCTATCCGTTCAGAGGTATTTAAAGCCATGTCTGCGTTCGGCATTCCTGCAAAATTAATTCGGCTATGCAGGACAACTTTAAGTGGCACAAGGTCAGCTGTTAAAGTCGGATAGGAACTTTCCGACTTTAACAGTTCTTCAATACCGAACGAGGATACAGACAAGGTGACAGTTGGTCGTGTGACCTGTTTAGCATCCTGCTGGAAAAGGTCATACGAGACGCAAAGGTGAACAGAAATGACACTCTGTACACCAAACAACACATGTTACTCGCCTACGCCGATGACAACGATGTAATGGGTCGAACATTGCGAGCGGTAACAGCCACCAAAATGAAAAGGAGTCGGCCAAAGTGGGTCTGGCAGTAAACGGCGAGAAGACCAAGCTGATGGTATCAACGCGCAAGACGTATAGTAGACTCGGACCAACTGTGGAACTTGAGAACTACAGCTTCGAGGTAGTCAAAGATTTTATATACTTTGGTACCGCCATAAATAAAACAAATGACATCAGTTTTGAAATTCGGAGAAGGATTGTGATGGCCAACAGGTGCTACTATGGTCTAAGTAAGCAGTTTAGAAACAAGGCCACCTCCCGCCAGACCAAACGCACACTCTACAAGACGCTAATACTACCCGTGCTGTTATGTGGATCTGAAGCATGGGTACTTGCGCGAGCAGTTGAGGCAGTTCTTGGGGTGTTTGAAAGAAAAATTCTCCGAAAGATATACGGGCCGATCTGCGTCGGTGACGGTGAATATCGGCGTCGAATGAACCACGAGCTTTACAATTTATACGCGGACATCGACATTGTCAGTCGTATTGAACAGCAGCGACTACGGTGGCTAGGCCATGAATGAATGAGAATGCCCCTGCTCAAGTCATATAAAAGCGAGCCTACTGATGGTTCCCGTAGAAGGGGAAAGCCACGAATTAGATGGAAAGACCAAGTAGAAAACAACATCTTGGAACGCGGTTTTCCAAATTGGTGGATTTGCGCACAAGACCGACGCGCTTGGAAGTCTTTTTTAAGCTCGACTTATTGAACAACTCTTCTGTAACTAAGTAAGTAATACAAAGCGTAAATTAAAAAAAAAATATTTTTCTAAGACTAATACAAG